GGCCACCAGTAGTGAAGTACATCACTGCATATGTGTGATGTCATCATAACGCATGTGCAGCGGGCCGCACCAGGCGACACCGAGCCTGGTGTGGCCGCTGCTTGGTGCCCCGGTTGTTGTGGAACTACAAGTCCCATGAGGCATTGCAAGACTCTTACAGCCTCAGGCATGGCTCTCAGAAGTAGAGGCATGATGGGATCTAGAGTGCTGAGGTTGCCTACCCCTGCCGTAGACCCACCAAAGGTTTCCAGCCAGCGGTATTGCAGGGCTCATTTTAGTCCTTGATTAACTACCTCCCGCCCAGCCGTTGTGTATGAACGGTCGGCCAGGCAAGCGGGAAATCACCACCATTTGAAAACAGGCAGCGATGCCCGTTACTATACAAGCGATCCGCCAGCTATAGAGCCGGCGGATCGCTTGTATGAGGTCCCGTGACATGCGCCCCCCTCTTGCTGTCAAGCTGGTCCAGGGCTCCGGTGTGAGCCCGGGACCAGCATATGGCCTCTGTCACAGGGGATCAGAGGGAGCTCGGTACACGAGCTCCCTCCGGTCCCCTCTCCTCTGCAAGAATGCGGTAGTGTTGTATAATACATCACTTCCGCATTCTCGTGTCACTCTCCAGCTTCAGATGCTGGAGAGAAGCTGATGGAGCAGATCTCTGCTTCATCAGCTTCTTCAGGGGGGTCCTAGGTGACATTAGGGGTCTTGGAGACCCCTGATGTCTCCATAAAGACGACCTGTCACCTCTTTTGCTATCACATAGAGGGGGTTCTCAGCCCCCTCTGTAAAAGCAATAAAGTTAAGTATTAACTAGTAGTAAAAAAAAATTTAAGTTTCCCCCAAATTTTTTTAAAAGTTACAAATAAAAAATAATTTAAAAAAACAATTGTTTTTTTTAAAGTCCCCACCCCTACATACATGCATGTAAACATGCGTCAGGTGCACATACCTGCGAAAACGACGATTGCGCCCATTACGCCGCACATGTTACATATCGCCGCGAACGTCGCAGTGAGAGCAATAATTCTCGGGCCATCAATCACTGATAACACTAAACTGATGAGGGGTAAAAGCTTTTAAAGCGTCGCCTATGGCCAATTTTGGGTATGCTAATTTTTTGCGATTTTGCGAGTGCGCGCAATTTTTAAGCTTGACATGTTTGGTGTCTATTTACCCGACGTGACCCCGACTTTTATATTTTACCAAAAAAAGTTGGTAATATTAGTTGTTTTATAACAGAATGTAAAAAAAAACTTTTTTTATCCAAAATTTTCAGTAATTTCTCCTGAATATAGTAAAAAATAAAACCCGCAGTGGTGATTAAATACCACCAAAAGAAAGCTCTATCTGTCCCCAAAAAATGGTATAAAATTCATTT